ATGTGACGGTCAATCCCACTATTCGTTGGTAAAAGAGTAGCCCAAGAGTTGGCGGTGGGAGGTGATGACTAGCTGCCTTGGTGATGACTAGCAGTCTTACACTGCTAAATTAGGGACGGCTAGCGCAGTTAGTCCTCGTGCAGCTTTGTTTCAAAACAAACAAAAATATTTAGAAATAATTTTGTGAATTTGGAGTTTCCGAATATTCTATAAAGTTTCGTTTTATAATTTACATATTATGAAATGGGTTAGTGTTTTAAAATCATATCTTATTTCTCATACATCATCGCTGGAAATCGAGCCACAATAATTTAGAGTTATCTGTCTTCTATTCTTACAATAAAACACTTGGCAGTAGATACTAACAGATAAGCAAGTAATAAAAGGTGGAATAAACAAGTTTTTAAATAAAATTTTTTCTCGAAAATCTTAATACTTTCAATAATTAATTTTAACTCGGTGAAAAAAGTAAGAAAAGGTGGTGGTGTTTTAGCGCAAACTATAGAATAGAACAATTGCTCTTTGTTTACCACAAATCCAACTCGAATTTTAGGTTTGTAAGTCTGTAAACTTACCACTGACCCACCGGGCAACAAATAAATGAAGTTAGTTACATTTTACTTACCGTCTTTTATGGTGGTTTTTCTTTCTTCTGAAACAATATCTACGATATAATTCCTGTAAAGATCTCTGGATTTAGCTACCTCCAGCATGTCAATGGATCCGTCTAAAGCATCAATATTTGTATAGCCGTGTTTCTGTAGCTAAACAGAGACAGCAAATAAAACAGGCAATTTTACTCGTAGTCTTAACAAATATGATTGTTGGGCACAGTAAAAACAGTCACTACTTTCATCATAAAATATACGAAGACTGTTGTTAGGTTTAATATACTAATGCACATTTTGGTGTGTCCGAATGCATTTTTGAGAAAACAGTTTTATCGATAAGGACTTCGTATGATGCCTGATTATAAAGCAAAATCATTTATAAAGTTAATAATAACACGTAAACTACACCAATTTATTCACTTAACTTCGGTTGAAGTACATTGATCAGTCTTTCATCTTCGTAAGAACTCGTGTAAGTGACATCGCCTTAACGTTGTTTAACAATTATAATTTTGGAAATAAATCTGTAAGGATGAATTCCAAGCCATAGAAAAATCTACGTAAAAATGAAATTATAGAAATAAGAAAGATGAAGAAAAGATAGTAGTTTTAAATAAAACTAATAATGTTAAAGAAAATTTTAAATAGTGTTTGTTTGTTTGTTCTTTGAATTTCGCGCAAAGCTACACGAGGGCTATCTGCGCTAGCCGTCCCTTATTTTAGCAGTGTAAGACTAGAGGGAAGGCAGCTAGTCATCTCCACTCACCGCCAACTCTTGGGCTACTCTTTTACCAACGAATAGTGGGATTGACCGTCACATTATAACGCCTCCACGGCTGGAAGGGCAAGCATGTTTGGTGGGACGGGGATTCGAACCCGCGACCCTCAGATTGCGAGTCGAGTGCTCTAACCACCTGGCCATGCAGGGCCCTTTAAATAGTGAAACTAAATTTGTGAAATTGGACAAAGATTCAACTAAAACTAGAAATGGTAAATTAAAGCCATCAGGTTCTCATTCTGGTAGCACGCAGGAGTTTCTACCATTCATAAGGATGGGTCTCTGGTTAAACCGACTGGTATTCCAGTTTTTGAGTCGTTAAGTCTAACGAATATACTATCAAAGGTAGTCTTGGTTTTTCTCAATAAATACGAGATTTGAATTATATAATTTTAGTAAAACACCAACAACAAAAAGACCTTATAAATCCAGTAATTTTTTTTCTTTATTAGCTGCTCCCGCTGGCTCAGCGGTAAGTCTGAGGGCTTATAATCCTAAAAATAGGGTTTCGATACTCGCGTTCGACAGGGCACATATTGCACATTGTGTAGCCTTACGTTTAACAACAAAGAAATCAACTTTATTACCTGACATTTCGGTTGTCCAGGGAACATTCAATTAAGACGTAAATGGAGCTAAAGTCTAAAAGGAAAGTCCCCTAATGGAAAAGCTAAAATACGGAGTTCGATTCCCCGCGGTAGACCGCAGATAAACCATTTTGCAGCTATGCGGTAAAAATAACAACAACTAAATGAAACACAAAGGAACGCACGTGTGGTTTACGTGATAGGTTTGAAGTATAAATAAAACAACAGATTGTTGCAGTAGAATGACTCATCGGTAAGAGAGTGAAAAAATGTACATTTAACTATCTAACGACAAATTGTTTTAAAAGATAGTGTTTAACTTCATTTTCGGTTTCTTCTCTCTAATTACTAGTGGTTCTTTATACTTACGTTCTCAAAAGTAGCAGGTTTTGTGTAATATTCAGATTGTAAGAGGACTGTCTGGGATAGGTGGCTGTTCATTTACGAAGTGTTTTGCTACGGTTTTCCTATCAATTTCAAGACTTTCTATATATCTCTCCTGTGTTCTCTAAATCATTGGTATACCCGTCTCTAGTGTAAGTAGCTCCACTTCCTGTAAAGGTAATCTCATAAACATTTATGGTGTTAGATTGATCACCTAATCCACATTCATTAAGTAGACATTTACGTTTTCTACAAAGATATATTTGTTCAGATTTGTGTTTTAGAATATTTCTGTATTATTTTAATTCATAATTCTGAATGACGAATAACTACTCAGGTGTGATTGGTGAGAGAGAGTGAAATATATAAATGTTAATTTTCTCGAGAAATTAATAAAACAATAGTTAAATTATAGAACCAATTGTTTTCATTTCACGTGACTGCAGTATACCCATTAATCCCTACCTATAAAGCAACGGTTGTTAATTTCATTCGTAAAAAAAATGCATTAATACAAAAATTTATGATCTTCCCACTGACATTCTCGAAATTTCAGACTTTAATTTACAATAGTTATTAATAATATTACAGCCAAATGAAAGGAACTGGCATTGGAAATAGAATTGCCAATGTAACTGCACTGACTTTCTCCAATTCACTTGAACAATGACAGAAACAAACAGATTGTTCCCTGCTATATGGCTGAAATACATTGATAATATCTTTTGTATCGGGAATCACGATTTTGGTTCACTATTCCGATTCTACAATTTCATCAGAACAAAACACTGAAATTAAATTTAGATTCGAAATTTCCTCTACTGCGAACACTTTCCCATTTTATTGAGGTATTGATGTTTATCAAAGAAGACCCAATCCACAAAGCTTACACAAAAAGCAATCACATTACATTTAAACTCACTTGATCCTTAATATGTCAAAACAGAACGTATAGCATGACAGTTAACGAGGGTCCACGAGATCTGCAATGACAACGAGGGTAAAGACCATGTCATCAATAATCTACACAAACGTCTACTTCACAGTGTTACGCTACATAGAAACAACCATAACTATTGGTTAATCACATACCTTAACTTAGTCTCCATCCAAAACAATTACACAAATACTGCCGCGATTACGAAGCAGTCAGACCACTGCACCACACGTAGAGCTACCTACACTGGAGAGACAGTCAGACTATTACACAACACGTAGAGCTACCTACACTGGAAAGACAGTCAGACCACTGCACAACACGTAGAGCTACCTACACTGGAGATAAAGTCAGACCACTGAACAACACGTAGAGCTACCTACACTGGAGAGACAGTCAGACCACTGAACAACATGTAGAGCTACCTACATTGGAAAGATGTTAGATCAATGCAATAGATATAGAGTACAAGATAGACATACAAAACCATGATATTGATAATAACGCTATAGCAAAACGCTTCGCTGATGAACGCTTTTAGTTTTGTACACATCAAAAATAAAATAATTATTAAATATTACAAAAAGTATTAAAATGTCGTAGATCCACGGCGTATAAACAGAATCTACACTAAGCTGTTTCCAGTAGAAAATGCAGAAATGAAAGGTAATTTATATTATATTATATAGTGATAGCTTTCCAACGTAACACTGTGTATGGAATATCTGAATGAGCATTGTATAATAGCATTACTGTAAGTCAGAATGTATATTGGTTAAGTAGAACTGGTAGTTAGCCACTCCAGTAATTTGGTATGAAAATATCCATCATTGTAGACACCTATGCTTGTACACGTACTTGCTTCGGAAGAGACTCCCAGATGCAACAGCCATGTCCTTGACGTACAGTCTATTTAACAAAATGTACTTTGTGAATGTTGACTTCTGGTGATTGTAAGGTCGACATGTAATTCAAAACAGCATTTATACTAGTGGTGTAGACTTGTACATTTAGAAAAGTTAAAGGCTCGTGGAAACTAAATATGAAAATCTTGGGTGCCATCGTTTAATGAAAGTATTGTTACGTCTCCGTTTGTTAATTAATTTTCCGTAACTTTGTTCCGACGAAACTTTAGCGACACAAGTCGTT